GAGCTTTTGTTAAGACTAGATAGATGTGGTTTTGAGTTACGTTGTTATGAGTATTGGAATTCATCTAGGTTTAATGTAGTCCCAGTGCTCTTGAAATGGTGCCCTTTCATTTGGTATATGATTTTTTCAAAGCATATCTTCAAGTATGATAGTATCCTCTTTCAAAAGAGGAATTTTATAGTCTGATGGTAAATGTCCTTATTTTACCTTTTTAATTGAAATGTCAATGTTCCTATTTTACTATAGGAACCAAGAAACGTCAGACATCATTGTGTGTCAGGCCTTTGGCATGGGTGAGCGAATGAGACGCAGGCCAGAGTGAGGGCTTTGAATGAGATGAAACAGAAGCCTCCGGCTCCTAGTCTTGATCTTTGCAATAAAGGAAACTTAGATAATGTACTTTGTATAATTTAGTAGTATGTACTTGGGTTGTTTCTTTTTTAAAGTGAAAATTTGTATTTTCTCGTCTATGCTTTTTTTTTAAGTTTTAATATCAAAAATTGCTTCCTTGCCTAAAAGGAAGTTTGAGTGAATGTCGTATTTGAAGGACACTCAAATTCGTAAGGTAGAAGCAATTTCCCAGACACAGGCTGAACAGAAACATATACTTTGCCAGAAGGAGCCTTTTGGGGCATATTTGGGCTCATCTGAGGTTAGTAACTCCCTCTCCTCCTATTCCTCATTTAAAAAATAATGTCCATTATAGAAAATTGAAATAGGAAAAAAAAGGAGGAGAGTAGTTAAGCAAAATCAGCAATCATCCTACTGTGTTGAAATAACTGTTAATATTTTGATATATATCATTTGTCCTTTTACTTTGCTAAATATGTATATTTTTATAAAAACGGGCTCGTGTTATGCACACGTTTTGTAACCTGCTGTTTTCACGTGACAATATATTTGGACATCTTCCCCGGGTCACGCATAGTCTTGCATTATTCTTATTGGTTTATTCTGCTGTGTGACTGAATCATAATTTATTTACTCCTCTATTGGACATTTCGACTATTTACATCTTTTCAGTTATAAACAACACTTCACTGAATCTTGTGTACATCCATGATTGTTTTCTTAAATTCTTAGGAGAATTGCTGTTTACGAGATATGCAAAATTTTAAGGCTTTTGATACTGACATATGGGTGTATTTTTGAAATGTCTTCCATTTGATCCAGGCAGTATGTCACCGTATAACTGATAAAAGCACTTGGTCTTTGGAATCTATCAGATTCCTTCTCTAAAGTTCATTTAAAGATTTGGTTATGTTTAAGTAGAAAATCAAGATAAAAAAGGAATTTGACAGTTTTAAAATTTATATCAGTGTATACCAAAACAAATTTCTAAACTTAATAATTTGTTAGTAGTGCTAAGTAAAACTTTACACTAAGTAACATCAGGTCACCTTCGGGTTATATGGATTTCATACTCTGATGGGAAAGAAAATTGACATCTGCATGTGTCAGGGACATAACATCCTTTATGCACATGAGAGCCAGTGTTGGTGTCTTACTTGGCCCATGTTGCATTTAATTGAATGTCACATTTTCTGCCCTAGAACTTCTTAAGTATGCAAGCTCCTATGTTAACCTAAAAATGTTTTTTATAATTTTATAAATATTGCTTTTATGAACATCTAAGAGAGAAATGGGTCTCAGTGAGTAGTAAGTCCTAGGTAGAAGAAGGGACTTTAGTCATTTCTCCCTGTCCCCTCATTACCTCTCTTACGGAGATGCTTTAGTTCAGAGAGGATTATTTTTTAAAATGCTACCTTCCTGATGTCATATGCTTTGATATGATGGTGTTTGAAACTATTTGTATTTCTTTTCTTCCTACAGTGTAATATCTATGCAGTGTTTTCCTTTTTTCAAAAACATGCCTTATTGCTTGTTTTCTGGGTTGCCTTAGTGGGCTAAAGGAAAACCAATTACCTTTAATAATTCTAATGGAATGTAGTTATGAGGGCCAAACTAAAAGGATTTCTACAGCAGTAGCAATTAGGCATGAAAAGTGAAAAAAAAGTTTTTACCATTTGCCGAGAATGAAATCTTGCAATGTAAGATTTTTTAAAAATATTTTTTCTCTTAACAAAGTTGTTATTTTATCCTCAATCCAAAACAAGATGATGTTTGTTGCTTTGTGTGGTAAAATACACCTTAAGTCACTCAAATAAGTGATATTGGGTAACGTCTATACCAAAAACTAGTCGATTTTAAATGTATATCTTAGGTCTCCCTGAATTAGGCAACTTATATGTTAATTTATGTAAGTTAATAATTTGTATGTATTAACCTTAAGCTCATATTAAGTTTATCATATAAGTGTGCTCATGAGTAAAAAATGGAACTACCCTAACTTTGTTTTTCAAGGAGCTGTACTATACTGTTTGAAAAATACTCAGTTTTAATTTGTGGTTTCTTTTAGAGCTGGAAATGTTACCTTTGCTTACTTCACCAGATTTACTCCCTCCTCTGTCTGCTCCAGCACCCTGATCTCATCTTGGCTCTTCATGCCAAGTTCTTTGCCTCTCCCCATCTGCCTGGCATGGCCTTAAACACATGTACTCCTCTGCCTGGCTAAGTCCCACTTACCCTTCAGGTCTCAGCTTCATCAGAAAAGATTCCCAAACATTTATAAAAACTTTGTACTAATCACCAAATATAGAGAATAACATCACCCAAAATTGAGTAGGTGTGTACTACAGTCTTTATATAGACTGGCTGCTGTAGCCCCTTAGATATGTCTTTCAAGACTGTGCTGCTTTTTATACCCGATTTTAAGTAAACCATAAAGCAGAATCCCTTCAAGTCTCAGGTCACAGATGGCGCTGGGATAGATTCATTTCTCTGGCGTCTGGCCATTGCTTTTAAAGATACAAACTTGCCTAATAGTACAGTTACAGCTTTCCCTCACCTTACTCCAGGGACTGTTCCATTTTGCACTGCATATTAAAGAGATACCTGTGCAAAGCAATGTATTGTAAGAAGTTCTTTGCCAAGGTTAATGCCAACAAGTGTGTCAAGTAGGAATAAAATCAGTAAAATATGTGCTGGCACTGTCTGTAGAAACTTAATGGCCATGTGTTGGTTTTAGAGGTGCAAATTACACATTAACAGGTAATTCTTCCATCTTCCACAAAAATATACTGAGATAAAATTCTGACACTATGGCATAAAATTTTGCCTCTTTAAGGTATAATTTAGGTCTTCCTGATTGTCCTCAAAGAGCAAGCAGTAACAGGTTGTGTCTCACGTTTGCACCTGTTTTCCAGGGTTCAATTTCATTCATCTCTGAATGAAAGATATTTCTGAACCTTGAACCTTGAACATTGGGTAGTTGGTTGAAAACAAGTTGCTGGGCAAAGACAAGTCATAACAGAAAGTGCCTTTCAGCCAAGACAGGTATGCCAAGGAGGCTCATTCATGCATATATAATACCCAATATTAGGTTTACAAGAAACCAAATCCAAATTCTTTTTTCAGACCAAAGCAATCATTAATCAAAGAACACAAAGGAGTAATGTTTGGGCCATTTAAGGAAATGGCAGAGCCATTCCTTTGGAGGAAGTTTGTATCTTTAAAAAATGGTTTCTTTCTGTACATTTCCAACCTTGCAAGTAGCAGTCCCCATACCATCAAAGTGCTCTCTTGAAAAACTACTAAGGAGAGAACCAGGCATCTTGTAATTCTGCATAGGCTACAAAGTACCATGTTTCCTACTCATGTAAAGGGCAAACTAAAATTTTAATCTAGACTTCATTTCCAAGAGTAAGACAGCCTAGATACCCTAACAACTCCCAGTTTAAAAAAAAAACCCAAAACATATAAGAAATAACATAAAATAATAGAAAGTTAATTAAACAATATAAAATATCTTTTTAAATTTATCACTGAGTTGACATGAAAGTAAGGAATTTGCAGAACTCCAAAACATGAAGTGAAAATAGGAAACCTCTGAGAGAAGCCAGCACCAAAGCCTGCTTTTGCCACAAGAGTTCTTTTGAACTCTGAAGTTCTTGAACTAGCAGTAGAGGGTGGCCTGGACATAGAGCTTAAGGCTTATTACCTAGGCTGAAGTTTTAATAGGGTCACAACAGAGAAGTGGGCAGCAAGGAAGTTCGCCTGCTTTGATTTTAGTGCCAGATGAAGGGGGATAAATCGCCACTGACCTCACATTCAGAACCACAGGACTTTCCTCAAGATTTGTCATCTGAAATCACAGAACCATCAGCTGATAATTTAAGGTGGTCTCATGTTGGTTGGCCCTGGATGTCTGGCAGAGTAAACAAATTCTCTCAAGGATCTCAAGTTCAGGCCATGCTTCAAATCATTTGCCAAGGAAAATAAGTTTAAGATACCATGAACTCAAGGGAAAATGACACCATGAGTGAGAAACAAAATGTATAACAGACAATAGAATCATCCACAAAAACTCAACGTTGTTACTAACATGGGAAAAAAAATAATGATGTTTAAAGAAACAGATGGAACAAGGAACAAAAGATTACACAGAAAACAAATGAGATTTATAAACCAAATAGAACTTGTAATAAAAAATATACAATTGAAAATTAAAACTCAACAAAGAGAGGAGGAAAAAATAAGAAAATGAATGAAAGGCAAGAAGGGGGAGTAGACCAAAAAAAAGATACATAATTTATAGTGAAGACCTAGAAATAAATCTAATGATATTTATAATCACAATAAATATAAATGGACTAGATCCAGTTTAAAAGGCAGATTTTCTTTGGCTTTATCTTTTAGGTGTGTCTCCTGCAAACTTGACATAAAAGGCCAAAGAAAGATCTAAGATATACCAAAGATTAACCAAACTATTGCTGTAGTAAGTAACAACAACAAAGATGAAGGCAACAAGCATTCACAGAGATAGTCACTACATAATTATAAAAGGTTCAATTCACCAGGGAAGATAAAACAATTCTAAAATACTACATACTAGTAATACTTACTACCAGTATGCATCTAGTAATAAAGCCAAAAGGAAAAGAAAGCAAATATTGGCAACTTAAAAAGAAATTGAGAAATCTATTATCATAACGAAATCTTGAGACCAGTAAATAAATCAAGTACAGGATAAATCCATAAAGAGAAGATCTACATAGCACAACTAACGAGTTTGATTTAATGGAGACTTACAGAACATTACACTCAACTCTTAGGTAATATACATTCATTTTCAGTACATACAGAACATATATGAAACTGACCACAAGATAGGACATAAAGCTAGTCTTATTTCAGAAAAATGAAATCTTACAGATCGTTTTCTCTGGCAAGTGATAAAGAGGTCAACTACAGATCCTGTGG